GACCTGAAGCACAAAGTGGGCCGTACTATTGATCTGAATGAGTTTTGGATTGCGCAAGAGACAGGAAACAAGGCGTGGAAGAGGAAGTACTCCCCATAAGGGGAATAACCTTCGAGCCATACAACGTTAAACGAAGCGTTTCGTGGGAGGCAACTCACACTTTTAATAACTTAGTTTTTCTTTTTGTTTTGTTTGCAGGCAATAAAAAGGGAGTCTTACTGATGAAAGCTAGGAGACAGTTGCTGGTGTTGCATTTCCCTCTATGAGTCACCTTCCTCGCGCCTGTTCTAAAATATTGGGGTCAATGCTTAGTTCATGTTTAGGGGGTTTTTACTTTACTGTTATTCTTACTGCTTTTCTTATACTAATTGCTATGTAAATCCACGAGTTGAAGTCTTTCCCAAAATTTTGATAGAAAATTTGTTTCGTTTTACTCAAGAGCGTATATTTCATAAAGATCGGGAAGAGTATATAAAGACAAAGAGATGATTAGTTAAGGGTAGGAAGTTCAAAATAATGTGACATTGATACGAATCTAACGTGTAGATTTGTACCATAGTGCTTGAATCCTGAGAAGTACTCCTGAAGTAGTTTATCCTTACAGTCTGGCATAATATAGATTCATATGCATGTATGATTGATTGAGAAATAAATAAATTTGGCACCAAATGATGAAAAGGCACTAAAAGGTAAGTGGCTCGCTAAGTTGGGTAGCCCTCACCCGATTATTTAGCCCGAAGGGGGTTGATCCCTAAATGTTCTCCATAAAGAACAATATATAAACTGAAAAGTTTTGAAAATTTCATCTAAAATTAAAAATGAGAAAAAGCTCTTATTTGGTGCCTGAACAAAAATTTTCTTGATTAGTCTTGTGCGTGTGATAATTATCAAAAATTCTCATTTCCTTAGTTTGACTGTCTGAATGAAAAAGGAGGGAAAAAAAACTTAAGTACAAAGCATAGTTAGAGAGGTATCTAAAGAGGAAGCTCGGGATTTAAAGGTTCTTACACAAACTCTTCGCGTCATGTGAACATCAGACGGACTATTTTTTTATTAATTTGAACGAATGTCTCACGTATGAGTACCGAGTTGCTGTGATTTTCATGAGTTTTTGTAACGGTCACTTGAGGTCAAGTAACAGTTTAAGTTTGAGGGAGTTTAATCAATGGTTTTTCCATCTTTATTTACAGTTGATTTTAGTTATATTTTCTTTATTTTGTCAAGTGTTTTATTTCATTCTTCCAAGTTTTATGTGTTGGTTGTGTATTTTGTTGTTTTCAGGCTCAGAGGAATAAAACCAGAAAAATCGGTGTGAAAAGTGAAAATTCGGAGTTTCAGAGGAAGTCTCAAAAACTAAGATATAGGGTGTCTGACACAGGCACCCGTGTCACCTGACACGGGCCATGTCATGATGAACGCTATTGCCAAAGAGGAAAATCAGGGGGCTGACACGGGTGCCCGTGTTCGGGTGCCTGAACTAAAAGTCAGAAAATAAATTATCAAAAGGCAAACACGGGCGGCCGTGTCACCTGACACGGGCCGTGTTAGCCATTGATGCTGATTTTGAATGCTTCGTGATTTTTCACTATTTGAGACCCATAGGGGCGTTTTGGGCATTTTTGACCGAGACAAATGGATTGTTTACTACTTAGCCAAGTTTTAAAGAGAAATTAGGGGACTTTTGGAAGTGAAGAATAGTTCACACGACTGAAGATTGGGGAGATCAAGGTTCTTGGAGAGCGGGAAGTTCTCATGTGCGGAAGCAATTGAAGATCGAAGTTATCCAAATACTTGTAATGTCTAATTTTTATCTTGTGATTATTTTGAACAATATGAGTAGCTAAACCCCCCAATGCTAGGGGGTGTCCCTGATTTGAATCTGTAATTATGAATTCCCGAGTTCTTTAATAAAGTTGTTTTCTTATTCAATTTAATCGTGCAATATTTTTATGCTTACTGATCAGACCAATTAGGATTGATTCACGGTTAACAACCAGCTAGACCGAGATTGTTAAGGTTTTTGTACGAATAGACTATAGTAGATATCACCTAGGACTAGGGATACCCTGTAGTTACCAAATCACTCTTGATAAAATAAAGGCTTGACTTCATCAGATATCTCTAAGTACTTAGGATTTAGGATGAATGGTTAAAGGTTTTCTCACTAAGAACTTAGGGGGAAATTATCTAAAGGGCTGGTAGTTGAATGTTATGAACTTGTTGAAGAAATCTGGATTCAAGGTCGTTATAGGGAAAATTACACACCACACTCTAGCATGTTTATCATACCTGTGAAAAAGCATATTTGTATTTCTGCTTATTCTTAAGTGACAGTTTCTAAAACCAAATCGTCAAGTTAATTTTTTGTTTAATTGAACGTGAATTGAATTCGGTAATTATACGTAGTCCTTGATATCGACATTCAGGGAATTTCCATGTTATTACAAAGGACAAAAATAGTACACTTATTATTTTTTCTATCACATGACGATCACCTTTAAATAATAATCGGGATACGACAAATATTATTTAAGGCTTGTGTGAAAGATTTGTTCGAAAGAAATAATTTAGGATGTGAAAGAGATTGAAAAATCATTCGCACATACATCTTAATTTATTCAATTGAGAATATGAAAGAACGATGTAGAAGAAATTAAGAATGAAGATAAATAATAAGAAATCTTCATTGTAAAGCGTTTTAAAGAGTTTCTCAGTCATTGTTATTGATATTGATGCCGCTTTACTATTAAAAATATATATTTTTCAAAAACAATTGATCACCTCTAAATATTTTGGATGTATAATATTATGAACTCGGGTCCATTAATAAATTTTATTGTTTTTAAAACAATATTATATTTGTTCTTATTTTTTTAACTAAAAATATAAAGGTTTATAGTTCTTTAAAAATTCATGTTAAATTGACCCAAAATTTTAATCCTAATTTATTATGCATACACACACAATTGATATTGATGATATTAGAGGAATCTAACCCAAATTCCATATGACTATAACTCATTTTACCCTACCAACTAACAAAAGCTATAGTATGGCACATTCACAGTAATAACCCTATAACTACATAACAGCAAAATGAAGAAAAAAAATGATAGGAAGAAAAACATCTCGAGCAACCATAATTAACTTGAGAACCCATGATGAATGAGATATGATGAAGTTAGTTATGAGGTATTTAAAAGGCTGCAAAAATTTATGCAATGAATGAAAGTGAATGGATATGTTATTTCAACTATCCTCACTGCACATCAATATGTCAACCTAAATTCAGCAATATGTCATCTTTTATTCAAGTTTCCATTACTCTCTTGAAAATGCATGGAGCCCATTAATGATGTCAAGCCACAAAAAAGTACCTAAACTGTCAATATCTGCCTCCTCTACACCCTCTTTGTATAAAATCACTGACCCACTTTGTAGAAAGGTTCTAGTATAGATTAAATTCATATTGGTTTTAATGGAAATGATTATTTTTTCTATTTAATGGTAGTATTAATTTTCTAGTTAATCCATTCAATTCAATTTAAAGTGCTTTGCATTTAATTACTTTTTGTTTTTATTCATTTATTATATGGGATATTTAATATATATCATAAAATCAAAAATCAAATATCTCATCATTTAATTAAAAGTCACAAATATTAAATAATATAATGTTATCAATATTATTAACTTTTTGAATATTACAACAATGTTTCTTAAGTAATAAATTTCTTATTTTCTGATTTATTTGTTTTGTAAGTTTATTGAGGTAGAATTCAAAAAATCTACGACATGTAATAATTATTTTTTATTGAAAATGACATATGAAAGAAAGTTATAAGTGGAAGGCGACATATGATAGAGAATAATAAAAAAATTAATTAATAAACGAATATAAAAAAAATAAATAAGTTAGATAAATAAATCCACACAGAAATATCTAATGTTCATATAAATGTTACTATACAGGGAACACAAAACTTTTATAAGTAAAAATGCATTAAGAAAAATAATAGCAACTATTTTCTAATAGACACTTTTTAATTGAAACTCATATTCCACCAAATTTATATTTAATTATTAAGATTCATAATGAGAGTCATTTTAAAATTAAAAAATATCTCATAAATAAAAAAATGTGTTGAAAACTAAAAATGAGTATATTAATTCTTCCCTGTTATTTAAATGAAAAATATTGAGAACACAAAATATAAAATTTGACACCATATTAAATTCTACAACAAATTAGACATTATCATATTTTTTTCTCACATGAGATACACAAATATTTAAAATATATTTTATACTATGTTAAACATGATGTCATATTTTGAGTGTTCAAATAACACAATTTACATATTTAGGTCATTTCCAAAAAAAGTAATAAGTTTTTTTTGTATTTCAAGTTACACAATTTTCGGTCGAGTTATTATGATTCTTTAAAATCCTCTAGCATCTTACATGACAGAAACATTTTCCTTTAGTAATTTTCACAGCACCAATAAATATTGAATGAGAGAAAAAGAAGATAGCAAGAGAGTTATTACAACCAAATGTCATTCATGAATATTAAAGTCTCTGCCACAAGAAGTCAATGCCCGAACCATACACAATTTTCATGCCTTATCTAAAATTCTAGACTAGCAAGTAACCAACTATGGTGCGATCTTGACTCCTCCTAAACACACCAATTAAAAATTAAAAAAAAACCTCACTAGTAGTTTAGTTTAATCCAAACCCTAAAACCAATGGTGTGAAATTTTGTTATCAACCAAAATATATCTCTACCAGCAACAGCAGCAAAAGAGCAGTACATAATTTATAACGAGTCTTTTGTGATGAATGTCTTTGATGAGAAAGCATTCAAGTCTCTCAACTAACTAAAAAACTTGATATTGATTACTACTACCACCAACAGCAACAAATAAATAAACTCTCTCTCTCTCTCTTGATATCAGGTTCTGAAACCATATTTAAGAATATTATAAATATATTCATCAAGAACTAGGGCAATTCAAAGCAGCTTTTATGTGTTGGACTGTCTCACTAATAAGGTTATTCACAGTTGTAACAGACTCCATGTTAAGTTTTGCAGATGGTAAACTGCTTACCATTATTTGAAACGCAACTGTGATCAATGATCCTCCGCTATTATTTCCCATGTTTGTGTTCGAGCTTGTCGATGCTCCGTCGCCATTATTACTACCACTTCCTCCTTGAATATTGTTATTATTATTATTATTATTATTGTTGTTGGTGTTGTCACTTTGGTTTCCGTCGGATGTAATTGTGAAACCGGACGGGAGTAATGGAATGTAGGACGGGTCCTCACCGCTCATTGCTATGTTGATAGCTGGTAAATCGACCGGACAATAGACTACTAGTGAACCTGATGAGTCCACACAGCTTTCTTGAAGTATCAACATGTTGTTTTGACTTGTGTTATAAGCCTGAAAATTTTTAAAATTAATAAAATACGTTAGAAACCACGAGAATGGGCTATAATCTGTCTGCAAGTTGTGTCTCTGTTTGGAACAGAGACACAACTTTCAGAATTTGAACTTGTGACCTGTGAGACTTTCAAGTCATGAGGATGGGCGATAATGTTATTATATATGCACTGAAAAACAAAATGGATATAAAAAAAATAAATGAAGCATATCTTACCCTAAGAACAGAAATGCAGTTACCAGGGTGTGAACCATTTGCTATATGAGCAACTTCTTGAACAACAGCATTACCATGGGAAAGAACATCCCACTAATCAAAAACATAAAAAGAAAAGCCATTATTTCAAAGGTCGTTCATTATAGGTAATATAAAATAGTAGTAATTAAAAGTATATAACAAACCTGAGATCTTTTCCTTTCATCTTTGAAGAAATTGAAAACATGTTGTGGAGGAAGAGGTAACCAAATGGTTGTAGCTGCACTCAGCACAATACCATTTGGCTGACCAGGATCGGTACTCTTTCGCACAGTAACTCTGACTCCAATCTCATTAGAAGCTGAAAGTGTGGTCCATCTATGACTTGCTGATGCACTTATACTTGCACAGAAATTTGTTACCATCCTTTGTGCCAGTTTCATCATACTCCTCTTTCCCTCAGGTGAAGGAATCACTGAGAAAATTCCAATAACCACACTAGTTAGTAGTTACATTGTGATTTCTTGATTGCAGACACATGCTTATATTGTGTTTATGAATATCTATATATTACCTCCGCCAAGGTCGCGGGTAGAATTCGCAGACACCATGAGACAAGCAAGTCTTTCACACATTCTTTGAAGTGTAGTGAGCCATCTTTCAGCACCGAATGCAACTCCACTATAGATGACATTTTTATAAAGCCGATGAACTGGAGTTTTATCTTCAATCTCAACATGTTCAATCCAAGTAACCTATAAAATATAGAAAAGTTACTCAAAATACATCATATATTATAATGGAATGAAATTGATGTAGTGTTAAATTAAAGGCTACTATACTAATTACTTTCGAATATCCATTAGGCATGTCTCGAATGAAGCAACCAGACGGAAGATGATGGCATCGAAATTGTGAACCGAATTGGTTGTCATTAGGAAAATCATATGAAACATCAACTATAGCCCATAAACCTTGCTCAATTTGTTGACAGTGGCGCAGAAAGTAGAATTCTCTAATAGGTACAAATGGTGAAAGCACTTGCAACTCTTCATACATCTAAAAATTCAAAAGAAAAATCATTCAAACATAAACGAATACCGAATTCGACAAATTTTCAGACTATTAAACATACCAATTGCAAAGAACCACTATGTCCACCCATCATTCCAGGAGCAATATTTTCAATTGTCTTCGCCATTGTCACAATAGTAGGAAAAAGCTCCATCCACTTGTTCTACAAAATCGATCACAAAATTCGCATAGTTAAGTTGATTAAATTGAAGTTATGAATTCAAATCTAAAAAAAAAAAACTGAAGCAATTAATATAAGAAGTTCATACTGGATCCATAAACATTTCAACCAGAGTTAAACTATTCATGATAACAACACCAGAATCCCTAGAAGCTTCAATCCGAATATTCGGATTCTTCAACCGATTACCAGTCTTATCGAACATCATATCGTAGGCATCAAGATTAAGAACAACTTTTCCGTCAGTGTTTGATTTCATCCACAAAGGATCATCCGCCTGCAAAAGCCTAACGAGTTCATCCATGGCACTTGTAGCAAGGTCAGACATGTGTGACCTTTCGAGATCAGAAAGACAAGCAGGTTGGTAAGGAACCATTGGCATGTTTGATGAACTTCCTGGTAGAAGATCAAGATCAAGTGAAGGTCCTCCAACCATTCCTTGTCCACCAAAATTTCCCATTGATAAATCCAATGATGACATGTGAATTGGTGAAACTGGTGGAAGCTGTGAAATTGGTCTTCCAATGTATTTTGCAGCAATGCTAGATACTCTATCAAGCTACAATGTTCAAAAATCACCAAAAATTTATTAAATTATAGTCTGCACCAACAATTGTAGCCGCAATAAAACGGAATTTGAAGTCTACGTTAGATAAAGCACATTTTGGTTTCCCCAAAGCGAACTCGAATTAAATGTGTTACTTCCTATAAAATTTATGATCTTTCAACTTCCGTCTCTACAAAATTTTGTTGAATTTTAGTCCTTGTTTTACTTTTTATAGAGATTATAATGCAAGGACTAAAATTAAACAAACTTTTATAAGAACTCAACTTAAATAATAGTAATTTTATAATATAAAAAAGTATATATAAAATTTTTATAGGAAGTAAATGAGAATGAATGAATAAACACTTTGCATTATATGAAGCTTAATGAATTTTTTTTTTACCTCTTCTTTGAGTTGAGCATTTTCAATTCTCAATTTTTGTTCATCAAAATAACAATCATCATTGATTGGAGGACCACCACAAGAGGGGCAGATGACATTTTTAAGGGCTTCCCTTATTGCTATATTCTCACATCTTATTTTATCATTCTCTGCCCTTAGTGTACAATTATCAGCTCTTTCATGTTGTGCCTGTTTTGTTCAAACCAAAATAAAAATCATTGTAAATTTATACATAATTGTATTAATCTCTTGTATACTAGTACAAGTCAAAACCAGACTTACCTAAACTTTATAATTCATCATAAAAATATACACACAGACAAACCTTAACCTATGAGAGTCGAGACAAATAAACCCGACCAGTGCAATTCAAGACCCGACTTACCTAAACTTTATATAATTTCCAGTAAAAACACTATAAAACACCTGACCTGTGAGGGTCGAGACCGGACTTACCTAAACTTTAAAATAAAAAAAAATTACATAAAAAAATATAATTACACCCTAGACTTAATTAAACAAAAAAAAAAACTATAATACCTTCATCTGAGTCCTTCTGTTCTGAAACCAAAACTTGATTTGTCTAGGAGCCAAGGCTAATTCTCTGCTTAACTGCAACCTTTGTTTTTCATCAGGATGTGGACAATCCTTGAACATCCTGAAAAAATAAATTAAAAATTCATAAAAAATATCCAAAAAAAGATATAATATTTTCAACTGTTGATTAAAAAAAAGAGAGAGAGAAAGAAACACAAAAAAACAAAAACAGAAGAAGAAAAAAAAAGACTCTTACGATTCAAGCCTTTGAATCTGATTAGCAGTGTGACGATGATAACGTTTCTTTCTCCTCTGAGATTCAGAAGAACCATCATGGTGATGATGATGATGATCACCAGGGGACCCACTTCCTCCACTATGATACTCCATTACTCCTTCTGATCAAGTTCTGTACTTTTTCTACAGCAAACAAAAACCCATTAACCAAAAACACAGAAAGACTTTAAAGATGAGAAATGAAAAAAGATTAAAACTTTTTAACCATGAAATGAAACGAATGTTATTTTGTTTATAAAATACTTAAGGGTTATGAAGCTATATGGCTATGGCTATGGCTATTTTTTTCATTCATAAATAAAAATCTAAACACATACATTTAACACTGATATATGATGATAACGATGATGATTGTGATGATGATGAAAAACTATTATAAATTAACAAAATAATTTAAGGAAGAATAATGGAGAGATTTTTGGAGTGAGTTATGGAGAATCTTATATGAAAGAAGAATAATCCATTCATATGATTATGATATGATTATTATTATTATTAGGATTATGATGATTCAATCCAAGAAAGAAAAAAAAACTCACTCACCACTCTCTCTTGCACCCTTTGTTATTGTGCTATGAATGTTATACACAATGAAGAGGGTGTATAAATTTATATATATGATGAGAGAGTGAGAGAGTGTGTCAAAAGGTTTTCAAAAGAAAATGTAACCGATGCAAATGAATTTAAAGCATTGAGAAAGAAAAGGAAGAGACTTTAAGGTTCTATTCTATGCATTTTCTTGTCTAGTATTCTATGCATATTATACAACTTTACATTTTAAATATTTTTTTTTTTCTTTTCATATATAAGATAAGATTAATCTCTCGATTTTTTACTAGATTATAGTAATAGAAAAACTTTATAATAATAATAATGATTATTATTATTATTATTATTGAAAATACTTATTAAAAAAAATCATCTAAAATTTTGAAGGGTCTTAAGTTTTCTCTGTCTAGGTGTGACCCCCTTGATACATAAATGACATCGCCGGGTTTTTGGTCGCCGGTGCATTTACGGTTGAAATGACATAAATAACCTTAGCTAGTTTTTTTTTGTGATGTTTAGTTTTTTTTTTTTTTCTTTCTCTTTCATCATTTATGTTTGTGCCTTAATTCTCTTTCTCTTGTTTTAATTTTTGCATACTAAGGTCACATACACACACGTTGCAATATGTGTAAAAGTCAAACGTTGGTGTCCTATTGGAGGAGTTAAGGAATAGAATACACCAAAGTGTCTCATTTTTTCTCTTTTAGTTCTCAATTTTAGCAATGGATGACACATATGATTCATGGTAACATTTTTTTTTCCTTCTAGCTGTTCTCAAATCAATTTTTGGCTTTGGAATAAAGACATCATTGATAAATAAACTACTAGTATTAATTTAATCATATAAATTATAGGGCAAACAAGTCATTAGTTAAATGTATTATTCGAGGTACAAAGTACTATTAATTAATTTAAATATTTTAGGAAATTATTTATTATGACTATTATTTTAAAAATTTAGGAAGAAATATTGGAATATTTTATTGTAATAAAAAAAAGATATTTCAAAATAAGTATTAAAAGTATTCAAACTCAAATACATAATTTAAATTTGACTAGCATAAATATTCAACATATATGAAATTCAGTGAAAAACTTTAGTATTAAAAAACAATTAACATGACCTTTGCATTATTCTCAAAAAAACATTAACATGAGTTGATTTTGACTTTTTTTATGAATTACTTTTCATGACACAATTTAATTTGGTCAATGATAAAAATAATTAAAATATATTTTATTCTATTTGCTTAAATTTTTTATTATTATTTATTTTATTTATTTAACTAAAAAATATAACTTTTTAGAATTTAAATCATTTAGGATTTATTCTCCCATTTTTTATTATATGTTACTTTGACATAATGTTTATTTTAAAATAAGTTATTTTATAATATCTTAAGTATTTCTTTTTCTTTTTTCTTTTGGTTTTATTTAATTTTTTAGAGAATAAATTATAATTTTATTCTTTTTTTTTAAAACATATCTTCCTCATATCATTAATAAAAGATAATTTTATAATTGTTTTTATAATTTCTCTTTTTCGTTCAATTATCATTACACTTCCATTAATCATGAAATAATCAAAACAATTTACAATTAAAAAAATTAAGGGAGTAATCAAACCTCAAAAAAAAAATTATAATATATATATATATATATATTACGAATTCAAAATACATAAAATTCGATTTTCTTGAAATACAATTAACGAATCTACCGTCATTTATATAAAAGATATAAAATAAGAACTACTATTGACTTTCTTTTCAATTATATTTTCTTCACATAATTTTTAATTTATTGAGTAATATAATTTAGTTAAAATTATATTATTAAATTTGTAAAAATTTGAATTATTATTTATCTAATTTTTTAACTCATTTTTATTTTCTTCACATAACTATTATTTTTACTTTCCTATAAATCATTTTTAGGGCATGACCTTAATATGCGCAATAGTAAACTTTAGTCACAAGAATGATTTTAATTTTATTTTTCAATTCTTTAAATTATTACTTATTGTATTTACTTAACTCAAAAATACAATATATAGAAATCACAACCTTATTACACTTAATAAATTAAAATTTTAACTTAAATTCTATCATTTTAATATTTTGAAGTGTAATTATTTAATTTTATTTGTTTATCTTGCCATTGTATTTATCTTATTTATGCTGTAATGAAACTCTAACTCTAATCAATTGTAATTTAAAATAAATTTTAATTATATTCTATCTTTTAAAACCTTATTACTTGTTTTATGGTTTTAAGTTGTTCAAAAAGTACATATCAAGACATGTTTTATTGAATTCTTTAATAATATAATTGGATTTTTATTGTATTTATAAATTAGTTATTTAATATACTATTTGAACTTGTGCTTGAATTCATTAAAATTAAAATTATAAGTGATGATAATCATCTCTTAATTATTAAGTTATGATGCTTCAAAGATAAATACCACTTTGATTTTAAAATCTAAAGTTTTGAAATGAAATTGAGTAACCAAAACAAGTTTGAAATGATAGCATGCAATCACATTTTTGCTTTTATTTGGTTCAATAAAATCACATTGCAGATATAAAATTAATTTCACCCAAAATATTATGATACTGTGTGCGACATCAAAAATATTTACTTATGTATAAAATAGTACATGAAAAAAACTTTCTTATTCGAAAGCATCACATTAAAATCTTGTCTTTTTTGTTAGTCAATTTATTAAAAGAATTATGGATAATGTATATATACAATATCTTTTTCGTGAAAATTATTTACATTGTTTATTAAAAGAATTACATCGTTTAACAATATACACTCTTTCGATTGAGTATCTTTTTTTGATTGAGTATCTTTGTAATTAATGAATAATATAAACAGACTATTGGAAAAATACCATTAATTATACTATCACCATTTAAAGTTATTATAATCTTAACGTCTGAAATATCGTTTGAAATGTAACAGTCCAACAATACATGTTTTATTAGGAATGTATTCCGATAAATGCGATAACCAACGAACAAGAAAATTAAAAGTTTGATTGATTTGAATTTTTTATTTGACATTTTTATCTATAATTTTTTTAATGTTTTCCTTTAAAAATTTTAAAGAGTGGAAATAGACTAGGCTAAATTTTATAAGATTTGAATATATATATATATATATATATATATATATATATATATATATATATATATATATATATATATATATATATATATATATATATATATATATATATATATATATTGATATAGACTGGGCCTCCGGTCGGGAGACCTAATCCAACACCTTTGTATAAGACCCAAAAACAAGCAATTCAAGTTAGGGACCGTTGGACAACTCCTCATACATCCGTTGGAGAACGTGGCTCACGTCCCCACATCACTGTCATCTTAACTGCCCTCTGAAATCACGGGTCCAACCCCTATTATCACTGAGCAGTTGACTAGAGGGGAGTTCACTTGCTGGACTTCATACACACGTAAGCCCAGGCAGTCTACATTATTGGACCTCAACGTGGTCCAACAATGGGGACTTTGGCCTAGCGCTGGGGCTATATATACCCTCTCTTTCAAGAGGGTCAGGTATTGAACATTTTCTCACTCTCTTACTTGCTAGTTCATTTTGAATCTCACTTTGGCATCAGAGTGTCTTGTAGGTACCCCCCTCCCCCACCTCACTCTCAAGTTCTACTAGAAGTAAGTTGTGACGATCCAATCTGGTCAGGTACGATCAGTGGCGCCGTCTGTGGGAAACACAGCTTCTCAGTCTTTCATTCATCCAAGACAAAAGCTAACCCAATTCCTTTTTTACTGTCATGGTTGATCTCACGGCAAAAAACAATTTGAATGTCCATCCCCCCGACGTCAACAACAATGTCGCCGACCATAACGCTGGCATCAACAACGCTGGTCCCGCTGACCTCAACGTCGGTAACAATAACAACACTACCAACAACAACGGCCACGTCGTTGACATGCCCGACCCCTCAGAATATAGAGACGGACTGACTGCCTCATCGTCATCAATGTCACGATGAATCAAGGACGATCGTCGTCCTCCTCAGAACTACCAGCCGAACTAGTTCCAGGAGGTCCCAGTTCCTGCGCAGGTTGATGCCAAGACCAGGGCACTGTTCGCGGCCATAAATCAAACAAACTACTTGATCTTCTCACAAGGTGAGAGATTAAGGGTGCCCGAAGATTCTCGAAGACCCCTAGAAGACACAGGAGTCCTGATTCTCCTCCTGTCTGTCAAATAGAGGGTCATCCCCAATCTCTCCCGCGGAGACGCAGACGGGATGCCTCTCGAAGCCCCTCTCCCCAACGAACCGGGCGACGCCCCGTGTTGGAGAGGGATCATCCTGTAGATAGCGGGAGATGTGATCAGATCCCCTCGCGTCAAGAGAAAAGACCCCCCTGGAAACAGAAACAGGGGAAATGACGAACAATGACACCGCCTGAGGGATCCTCTACGCGACCAGGGCTGTCATCACGACCGCCATTACAACATGTCGCCTTCTCGATCTCCAA